CGCTAATTAAGATAGCTGTGATACTTTAATTGAGCTGCTAATACCAAGGCAGAGGTGTTGCGGGTAGCAGCTTTTCTTTCAGTCCTTTGCTGAGCAGGAAGGACTGTAGTGCTGTGCGTGGGCAGTGTGCCACAGGACTTACAGGAGGTGCTCTGCTGTAGCGGATCCTTATCTCTTCCTCCTAGCTTCCCCCTCCCAAAGACAGCCTCTCCTGCTGTCAGTTCTGTCGTGGTGATGTATGTTTGACTGTACATCTCATAACAGCAATCTCCACGTTGTTCCTCTCTTCCCCTCCCTTACCTCGAGGGCTCATTTCTAAGATTTTGGACTATGCAGGCTTTGATGCAATGCTTGTGTCTTTCCACTCAAACAATTAGTCTTGTTAACTGCTGTTCTTACAAACCTACATACACACTTTTAACCTCTGGTTTTTAAGTGTAAGGAAGAAAAAGTAATGGATACCCTAGCTGTTGAGTAGTGAGGATAGTTTATATATTATTTATGTTTATGATTATTTGGTTGCTATATTTTTAAATATTGCCTTATGTTAGTGGTATAGTAAGAAAAAGCTTTTTCTGTTATCAAATCATAGCATTTTCCCCTTAAAGTTTAAGTCAGAATTTATTATCTTATATTTTCAGGTGTTGTAAGAATCATCCCTTAATGCAAAATATTGATGTGTAACATACTGTTTAGATAACTGCCCTTCAACAGCAAGTCAGACGCAGTTTTAAATTTGAGTTAAGTGAATTTAAACTTTTGGAAAGCCTTTGCATAGTACAATAAATTAATTCTTTTGGTTTTGATTCTACTGTAGTGGTTTTGTGGTATATACTTATTTGCAATATTAGCAAAACAAGCCATAGTAGTGTTGTACCTGTGTGTAAGCTTTGTCATGAAAAGTGAAGTAAAGAAAACTCCAGGTTGTCAGGAGAACTCCCAGCTAGTAAGAAGTGTAAGATAAAAGCTATATTTATTTAGAACATATAAAAGTTACCACAAATTATAAGTTAGGGATACTTCTTCATAGTTCTATGCTAATGTATGATTTTTATTTTTAATTTGGAGCTCTAGTAAAAGGACTTTATTCTAAAAATTGACCCACAAAATGGTTATAGAATCCTTCCTTCTTGAACAGTTTCCTTTAAAATGCTTTGTGATAATATGAGAAACCTAAGACCATGAGATATTCAGTGTTTCAGAGTCAAACAGATGTTAGCTAGTGATTTTTCAGTTTCTGGAAAGATCTAGTAAAGAGCTTTCTGCTAGATCAATTTTCTGTCAAAACATGGATTTGATAAAATGTAACATTTTGCAGGAAGATATTGATTTATGTTTTCAAGAGAAAGCTATAGAAATATTTTATTTATGGTTGAAACAAGAACATAAAGAAGAAAACTATTAGACAAAACTGAACATCTGACACTATTAAAATATCATAGCCAGTGGTTTCAGAGTTCCTAAAATAAAAACTGCAGGATTTGTGTTTTTGTTTTTTTTTTTTACAAAAAGTGCTGTCATCTTATTTCTATTAGAAAGGAAATTTCAGAATATCTGTTTTTACTTCCTAGTTCAGCATGATTTTCTTACTTTTTCTCTCTGACTTTTTACATGCTTTGGTTACTGAAACTGTTTTTATGAATGCCAGACCAGGAGTCTCCAGAGCCTTCTGCATTTTATACAAAGCCCTTGGAACTCTGCTGATTTGAAGAATGACTCAATGCTTCCTTGCAGACCCAATTAGGGGAGTTAATCAAAGGCTCTGTAGGAGCGCAGGGTGAGTTCTGGGAGTCTTTGAAAATCTTAGCTGAATTTCTAATTAAGAGCACTGACTGCTCTTAATTCTGCAGTGAGTGTTGCTCCATCCCAATCAAAACAGAAGGGCTGCTCCACAGTGGTGCTCCCATCCGTGGAGCAACACGTGTTGTTACTGTGGTCACAGCCAGCCTGGCCTAGGCTGGCACTGGGACAGACGACCAAGCAATTGTCCCTTCTGGAATTCTCTCTCCCTTAAACATGCCCTTCTTGGTGTCTCATAGGCTACAGACTTGGTCTGAGATCAGCTGACTGGAAATAACTGCTATTTTATTCCCACGGTCCAGATGCATTATCTTTTAAAAATGGTCTCTGTGTTGAATTGAGCTTTAAGAACATGGTCATATGACAGAGATTAAGGTTGTTAAGTATCTATTTATCAAGGATTTCTATTTTTAAAGAAGCTTACAACTCCATTATATATCTAAATATAAGAACTTGTAATGAATAGGCAGAGACTGAAAATAATGAAGCAGGCAGAAGTTCTAGGTTCCAAATTATATTTTTGAGAAATGAGAGTGTTTTATGAAATCTGAGGATGTCTTCTTCCTGGAAATACTGTTTGTGAAAGGGCACTGAGCAGTCCTGACTTCTGTGAAAGTGGAACAAAACTTCTGATTCTTTGTGGCCTTCCTCTGAGAGAGCAGTTTGAAATGGATTTTTAATGGCAAAAATCTCTGCCCTAAACTTAAGACTAAACTGCAGTAAGTGATGTGTACATCTCTGCAAAAAAATCTGAACACATTAAAACCAAAATTTATTGCATACTTTTTTGTGCATCTAAAATATTTAAGGCTAATGTGCTAAGAATGCCTGAAACACTAAAATAATTTAGGAGTTAAAAAAATAAAATCTGTGGAAGTAATATAAACGGAACTATTTTCATTTGCTAATGTGACCTGACATTGAAGGACAGTTATCTGCTGCACGAAAATAATTTGCCTGCCTTTTGTTTGCAGATGATTCATTACTTTTGATAATCATTAGAGGTGTAACACATTCATAACAGTAAAATTAATAGCTAATGATAACGTAATCTTATTTCCTCTGCAGTTATCAGGGGCACTTAGTATGTCACAAGCCGCATCAGTAGCCAGTCTTCCCCCTGACATTGGATCTGAGCATGCAGGCTAACAAACCCCTCCTGCACTGCTGCATCTTTTCATCCATTGCTTGTTCTTTGGTCCTCTCAGAACTGCAGAACTAGCAGTAAACCAGCTCAGGGGACAGAATTGTGTTTGAAAATACTTGGGTTTTTCTACTTGGTTCTCTTCTCTTGGCCTTTTTTTGTAGTTATTGGGTCACAAAAGCCAGGAAGGTCTCAGGAATAGTTACAGGCAGCAGGTGGGAAAGACACTGTGATGGAGGCTCTGTATGCCTGCAATGCTGTTGGCAGAAATAGTGATGGGAATGCAAAGAAAGTCAGTCAGGTAAAGAGCTTTCAAAAACCAAAACCCCCAAACTGTTAAGTAATCTGGCTGTGATAAAAAAGTATATTCTTTCAAAGGTAGAAGTTTATTATTTCCTTTAAAAAATTCCATTTGGTTGTTCCTAAGATTATGGCATTTAACTGTCTCTCTTCATCTTAGTGAAATAATAAAGCTTTTATAAACCTTTGTTGGAATGAATATCTATCCTGTCAGGAAAACAGACCTATTTTATCCAGTGTCATAGAAACTGATGACAGAATGAATTGAGACCATAACACAGTGGGAGTATTCTAAAGACAAATGCCTTATATTCTAAAAGCAATTTTTATGTATTATGGTTTATATTAGAAAAGGTCATTGAAAATAACACATATTTTATGTCAACAAATTAGTATACCATATACCTATGGAAATGAATGGTACACTAGCACAAATTCTAGAAACAGCTCAGACAGAATGGTACTGATGTCCCTATGCAGGATGGCCAAGAAAGAAGAAGTGCATTGAACCTGGTATTTTCTCAGGTTCAAGGCTCCAGAGAAGTCAATAAACTTGTGTGTGAACACATTATCTACCTCTACAGAGTAACTGAAGAAATTAGTATGTGCAAGGCATAGAAGAGCATGGCTTTAAAATGAGTAATCATATGGGATTGTGAGTGTTGGTGGTGTTAAATCAGGCTCTGTCATTATATGATATTTGACACAGACAAAATCACAGTCTTCTTGCCTTGATTTCACCACACAGTCATTAGATTACTGATTAATTTAATTTTTATTAATCCAGAGTATTACCAGAAGTGTTTGCTTCTGAGGAATAAAATTTACATCCTGAAAGCATACTTAAAAAGAAACTCTGGTGGTAACAAAAAAATGTAAAAATAAAAACTAGCTATTTGTGGGACGTGCGGTTTTATTTCAAGATTGCTCTTCAGAGCAGTCCAAGGATGTCAGCAGAAAAAAAAAAACATAGGGGAAAAAATAGTACTTGTATTTGAAAAGGCCTTGGAGTTCTGTGGAATGATACTTGCCCACAATTGCTTCACTCGGGGAAAGCTGACAAGAACCCAGTATCTAAATAATGATTAAGACACGCCAGATGAAAACGAAGAGGCATTCAATTCCGCGGCATTGCCGTCAGGGCGCCTGAAGGATCTCCTGCGGAGCTGTCAGCCGAACCTTTGGGGCACAGCTGGGCTGGGGCACTGTCAGACCCGACTGCCTGCCCCTGCTCCTGCCTCCAGCTCTGGTTTTATTTCCAAGTGACGGCCCGGGGGAACGCGTGGTTCGGGACAGCGGTACAACACACGCAGCTCTGGCGCTGCCCTCTCCGGCCCATCCAAGCGCTGCCGCCCGTTTTGCTCCGAGCGCCCGCTGCCACCCGCGCTCGCAGGGCACTTTCGGGAGCGAGCCCTGTCCCGAAGGGCGCATCTCCCGGGGGGCACGACCCTGCCCAGCGCTCCGCCTCCGCCGGAGCTTCCCCCAGGACCACGCTCCCGGCCCAGCCGCGGCACAGAGCCCAAGCCTCGTCCGGCTGCCGTGCCCGCCCCGGGGCGCCCTCACAGCGCGCCCACCGCAGCCGCCCGGCCTCGAGCGGGCCGGCCCCGCCCACCGGGGAGCGGGGCGCGCGCACGGCCCGCTCTGCCGCGCTATTGGCTGGCGTGACCGCGCTGCGCGCTCCGGTTGGCTGCGGCCGCCGCCAGGCAGCGGCGGGGCCGGGCGGTGTCCGCCCGCCGCTGCCGCTCCCGGCGGGAGGGTGAGTTTGAGTCGCGGCCGCGGCGGAGCCCCGGGCGGGAGGGTGAGTTCGGTTCCCGGCCGCTCCCGCGGGGACAACTTTTTTTCCCCGCGCGGGGCTGGCGCATCCCGACGGGGCGGCCGCGGCCGTCGGGCAACTCGCGGCCGACTGAGCGGAGCCCCCCCAGGCTGCGGTCCCGCGCCCCACCCTGGGGCAGCCGGCGGCGCGCGGCTGGGGCGGCCGTGACTCGCCGGGGCGGCGGGGGGTGAAGGGCCCGGGGACGGCGAGCAGAAGGGGGCGGCGGAGTTGCTGGGGGATAGGGCCGGTGCCCGGGGGCGATGGAGGGGCAGGGCGACACCCTGCCCCCGGTGCGGGACTGCGGGGCGGCGCTCCGGGCACCGGCTGCGGCTTCCCCCGTTCCCGCGGGTCCTCCCGGGGCCCCGCCGGCATCCCGGCCGCGTCCGGCCGCCCGCTCGCCGCACGCCGCCCGCGCCCGGTCCGGCTGCGGCGGGGCACAGCGGGCAAGCGGCGGCGTCGCCGGGGCGTCTGGGGGCCGGCGGGGCAGCGGCGCCTTGTGCCGCCGGGAGAAGGCGGCCGGGGCTGCGGGAGAGACAAAGGAGCTGCTCCCGCGGCGTCTCCGGAGCAGGGCGGGCAGCGCGGTGCGTGGCAGCGGCTTCTCGGTGCCACTGCCGACCCTCCTGGGGAGGCTTGTGGCAGAGTGGGCGGCGTGCTGTGGGGCGCCTTCATGCTGACCCGTGCTGGGGTGTGCTTGGCCGTGTCCTGCCGCTGTGAGGTGCGTGCCCGCCGGGGGATGCGGGAGGTGGCAGCAACAGTTAGAACGGCGGAGTTGGGAAACCCGAGCGGGCAGCGCCGCAGGCTGCGCGGCTTGTGCCTCCGCGGGCTTCGTGCCTTAACTTGGCGCACGCTGAACTGAAGTGGCCTTCCATGTGCTTTGTGTGTCAGAGGTGACGATGGAAGCAGGGATAGTGGATTTGGCTTGTCCCATGTAATCCCGACAGCCATCACGTTTGTTTCCCGGCCAATTGAATTCTAGCTCTCTGTGGAAAGAGCTCCGCAGCCTTAGGTTCGCGGGGAGATGGTTTGTGTGCTTGAAGATTGTGAAGTCCTGCTAATATCGACTTTTCAGAAGTTTTAACGTACGCTGCCAGTGTGTGAGGAAATGACTGTAGAAGAGCAAAATATGTGAGTTTCTATTGCATGTTTGGCGTTAGGATCCTTAGCTGCAAATTCAGATATAGGGACTTTTTTTTAAGGCAAGCTGAGCAGATTGCACTGCAGAGAGGGAAGAAGCAGTGTTATGGAGCAAAGCGTAGAGTGACATTGATGACTGCATTTCATGGTATCTGAAATGCTTTTCTGTAGTTTTTGCCTCCAATGATGGACTTGCATGCTACAGTGGTTTTTCAGAAGTTTGTGCTTTCCACAGTATCATTGAAAAGTTGGGGTTAAAAGGGACCTTAAAGCTCATATAGTTTCATGCCATTAGAATGGCATCTTGCTTTTGTTCTCTCCACCTTTCAATAAGTTCTTTTATGTTATGAAAAGTAAGTAATGTTGTATAATGTGGTTAAATTAATTTGCAATCTTTTGTAGTTTCATCAGCAAAATAGTTTTGGTAAAAGTAGTATACTTTGAAGTTGAATTTTAGATCCTTCTGGCAGTGTTTTTTGGATGTATTTTTTTCCTCCAGAGTAGGAAAAAATATAAAATCACTAATTTTGAAATACAAAACCCCTCTGCTTCTCTTCTGTGATAATGCCTTTGTGAGGCAAGGCCCTTCTAATAGGCCTTTTATCAGAAGGATGATAATTTTGAGGAAGTTCAGTACTACTTGGGATGATTTATTAACTAACAATTCACTTCCTTGCAGTGGTGAGCTGTTTTAAAGGGACATGTCATATATAATCAGAAAGTGTCTTCCAAAGAAAAAGGCTGTCAGGGACAGGATCACATTGAAATTCTGCTGTAGCCTCCTGAATGGGCGAGTTTGCTTTAACTTGAGGGAGTCCATGGGAGACATGTTCTCAGACATAGCTGGGTAGTTAAGTCACTTGGATTCTAATTTTGTGAGGACTTGTATCACAAGCGTGTACGTGAGATACTGGAAGGCTGGGCCCTGCAAGTGATGTGTGTCATTTGTGTTTTACTTAGCACAGTGGGGCTGGCTCTAAGCTGGGAGACAAGCCCATTTGCTGATGCATGTGACTGGGTCAAACCAAATAGTAAGTCACTGAGTTAAAGTCTCACTCATAGTGCACATTCCTCTAAAACCCCAATATCTTGAACTGGCCTCATGTTCATGTCAGGAAATTGATTTTCATTAGAGTCTGCCTTAAGGTATATATTAGGTTGTCTTCTTAACTTGTCACTGACTTTAATGCATGCAATGTGAAAATCAACTTGTTCATTCTGGAGGTTTAAATTATTAAAGTGTTGGCTAGTATCTGGTTATTTTAATTAGAAGATAAATGGTGTGATGTGATACCATGTTTTGTCTGGTTGTATGGAGAATGCATAGTTTGCAAAATGATTTCTTAGAGAAAAGTCACAGTGCCCAGGTTTCCCTTTGGACTTAAGAGCTTGTGGAGTATGTGAGGCTTTAGGATGAAACTTCCATGAGGCATAAATGTTTATGTTGATTAGAATATTAAAATGTAGTAGCTCTTGGACTCGTAACAAAGATCACCTGTGCACTCAGCAAACATACAAAGCCTCTGTCGGGAAGAGTTTAGACTTAAATCTGTTAGGTGAATTGCCAGGTCAGGTTTCATTCCCAGCCCTTCCCTTTGACAAATGTGCTCTCTGCATAACCTAGCACGCTTCCTCTCTCCCAGGTGGAGGACTGGGTAGAAAGCTGATCTATCCTTTGGTCTCCCATAGGACTGTGTGGGTACTTTTGTTGGCAGAAGTGGAAGTTACACCTGTGAATCACTGCACTTGCGTGCATTGCGTCCAGTGTTACCAAGCAGTCAGTCTTCCAAGAGCAAGATGCATGAAGTTTAAGCAGGAGATCTGATCTTGCTGTGTAGGAAATTAGAAGCCTGACAGTCTGACCTTCCCTGCCTGCATACTCTGTTTTCTTTGAAGATAACTAGAGTCCAAATCTTGTACACTTCAGAAAAACTGAAGACTGCCCATCTGTAATTATATTCTGAGGTTAAATAGTTTGACTGGAGTGACCCTGTCTAATCTCTGAGACTTCCATGGGATTATGGAAATACAGCATGCTTAAAACCTGCAGTTTATATGCAGTGCCTTACAGTGTGTTGGTTTGTACTTGGTAGGATGTAGTTGAGAGAGTTTGTTGATTTTGTAGTTTCCCTGCTTAGGAGAATTACAGGTTTTGTTTTGTTAATGCTTTTCTGTTTAATTATGCAAGTATACACTTTTATTAGAATTTTAGGCCTGATATCTTGTCTTTAAATCTGTTTTCTTTCTGTTCCAGGAAGAATAGCCCTTTTGGCATCTGCTGTTCTCAGTTGCTAGAATTGAAATGGTGATGTATGAAATGCACATTTGGAAGTGGAGAATGTATTGGAATTAAAGCATTTTTTTATTAGCATCAGTTATTTAGAAACTTAAATTGGATTAGTTAATTTGAAATGCTTTGCGAGATAATCTTGGAAGACAGCAACAAGGTGTCAGGATAAGGACAGAAGTCTGTGTCAGTGTTGTTGAAGTCAAGGAGTACTAAAGTATGAAAATGTTTCTAATGTGTAGTAACTGCATATTGCTGCTATGCGGTGTTTAAAGCTGCTGCTCCATCTCGGTATGCCATTAAAATGTTTATTTCTGCAATGGCCAGACTCTTCCTCTACAATGTGTAAATGTATGCCCACAATTTTTAGATGAAGTACTTCTGCATGAACTTGAGATTTTCTCTATAAACAACTGATACTTGAATTATTTAAAGTTATTTGAAAACATTTAAAATTTAAAAAGTTTTGCACAAGGCTGACAGCTGAAATGCTTCTGCATTTGTTCTTTCTGTAAATCAGATTTCTATCAGAATTTGTGTTGGAACTTTGCTAGCACGAAAACTCAAATACTCTTGGATTAGATAAAAAAAAATCCAAAGCGCCAAAACAAGCATCTGAATGATCTAACAACTGTATTCATTTTCAGCTTATAGCATTTCTAAATTAATACTGGATATGAAGTATTTTCTTGTACTTGTGGTGAAACTGTTTTGAAGCCTTTGCCCTAATCAGGACCATGTTCAAGAGGAGCAGAATAAAAATAGCATCTTGGCTGAGTCTGTGAGGGCAACTGTTATTTATGGCAATTTCTTTAGTCACATCCCCACATGAACTTACATGCTTTGCTAACAACTGGAAAGACAGTGAGTGAAAGCAGTATAACTTGCAGCCAAGTGAGTCCTGATATTGTCTGAATGTGACCCTATTTTGTCATGTAGTGCCTGAAAGGGGAGCATGTTGGTGTAGGTGTTCATGTGATGAATTAAGGATTCTGTTTATAAGGCTTCAGTTTAACTTCTAAATGGTGTACAAATGTAAAACAGATGGGTTCAATAAACAGTTGTTATTAGTAGCATTATTTATTAGAACTGGAATCAGTAAGGGACATGGAATTTGGACAGATATTTAGTTGTCATCACTCTTGTATATGGAGAATGCCATGGAAAGTGAGGGCGTGTATGAAACGTTTCTTATTTTATAAATGACCAGCAATGCTGAAGAATCATCTGAGTGTTGAGATGAAGACTTGGAAATGGGTTATCTCTTCAAAACAGATGGATGTTTTTGTTTTTCCGTCTCTAGCCTCTGATGATATGAAATGCTATGTAGCAACTGAAAGAAATAACAAAGAAATGTAGGTGAAAGTAACACTAGTAAAACATACTTATTGCTGATGCAAAAGTTGCTGAGTATCTGTATTCCATCCTGATTGGCACAAGAGCTCTCATTCTCATTCACAAGAGCTCTCTATGTGACAAAAAATGTCTATTTGGGGCACTTTTGATAGCTATTCAAGGCAGCTTTCTTAGGCCATCTTATCTCATACCTTTACATTTTTTTAGT